ACTGCCATAAATAACTGGAAGTTCTGTACAATGAGAAAACTAAATAGAAGTGTTCTATTATTTTAAGCTTACCGTCATCTTTAAGGAAATCCCCATTACCATAAGCAGCAACATACAATGTTTGATTGATTCCTTCTTCATTTGGTATAACACAACTGTATAGCCCTTGAATACCTCCTATTCCTCCATTTCTTAACAAACCAATTTGACCAGTAGCAGTGTTGTTAGCAAACAGAGGACTACCAGAACCTAATGGTACGGTTGTTCCATCAGAAAGATACCATGTTCCTATCATATTCTGATTAAGAGAACTCTGACACCACAAACCATCATTCTGACCATCAGGACTACCAGTAACACCAATATCACCACCAGGCCCATCTACATCCGAATCATGAAACAGACCAGCAGCTATCATTGAGAAATTAGCAATAGTCACATTCTCCTCACCAAGAAACAACCTCACACCTAATTGGTTTAACCATTGTCTAACAGTCACTGCTTTATAAAAACAATAAACTGACCAGTACTCGGACGTGGAGGAAGAGAACCAAAGAATGGTTGACATGATACATAATGCAGCAATAGAAAGAACCAGATCACCATCTTCTGACTTCAAACTGTTTACTAAACAAGATACTTGATATGCATGGGTGGGTATGAGCTAATTACAGAATGCTTACTCTAAACTGCTTACTAATGAGGCGTCACTAAAGGTTAGTTAATGTACTATGGAATGCTAGACAAGTGTCACTAAAGGTTAGTTAATGTATAGTACTATGGAATGCTAGACATGTTACTATGCAAATATTATCACTTTAAAAATGAATTAATAATCTAACTGGCTCTATCCATAGAAGTGATTCTGTTTTATACACCCAACATACACCCAAAAATGACTTATAGAATAAATAGATAAATAATGAAAAGGTGATGATAAAATATAAAAAATGACTATTTAAAATTAGTAGGAGAGAAAGCTATGAACAGACTAGCTAAGGATCAGTGTCACTTTGTACATGCTCATACACACACTAACATGTAGAAAGACATACTGTCAATGGACCAGAGCTAGCTCTGTTTCAAATAACAATAAGGACCTATAAACCCTCCAGCTTGAAACCATAAATCATACATTCTCATACTTTACTCAAATACTGACCATCAAATTACAGGTACATGCATCAGTTATAATTGTAATAAAAGTAATATTGTAATAATGCCAGAATTTGAAAATGGAAATGAAATCTTCACAGCAACAGGACTAACTGTACATGAATTGAAAGTATAATTTTGCTAGGATACACACAACTCTACGTGCAGCATGCACATAGTACAAGTACACATTCCAAACCTTGTTAACATCATTAGTAGTCTACCAGTAGGGCTATAGGCAAATTATGCTTTTTGGTACTGCCCCAAATTCCACTCGATTATGCTTTGAAATGAATCCAATTATGCTCATTACTATGCTCATAGTGTAAGCTTTACTCAAATATCAACTATCAAGTTACATATACACGTATCTGTTAAAATTCTAATAAAAGTAATATTGTAATAATGCCAGAATCTGAAAATCTTTCCAGTGACTTTGAGTCACTGAAAAATAGAACAGCCTAAGTCATTTGACTCACTATACACTTGCGTAGGTGGGTAATAAGCAGTTGGGTTGTTGTATTAGTACTTGTACCCCACCAGGCTGTCATATATTGAATTAGAAATCATGTGTTCAGGGGTATAGGGCCAGAAACTTTACCAGTCATGCCAGTATTAATAACTTGCTCTATTATGCTCCAAGTTATCCCTAGCATAATTTTCCTTGCCCCATCTACCAGTGTATATATAAGTATCACAGAATGCCTTTAATGTAAGAATTAATACCTGCTATAGAGAGTGTCTACTCTACTGTACATGTACATAGTATAGCCACTTACCTTTGTAATGATTAGCAGATCCAGTCAGTGCAAAGACTACTAGTACCAACTGAGAGAAACAGGATAATAAATTTTACTCATGCACCTGAATGTTTTGCATTCCAGTTAATGAAACTCTCTAATTATCTACACTGATAAACAAATTGCTCATAAGATGTGTTTCCCTACATTAACAAAATAAACATGTTGACAATAAGAGCTCATTTAAAAGCTACACTCCAGCATTCAAATAAAGCAGCAATCATTATGTAGCTAATAATGTTTCCATGAATTAGGTCTATATACATAACCAAGAGTACATTATGTTATGGAAACATAATGCACTCATAATGTAACTATGATTACTCTGTGAGGTATAATCTATAAGCCATTTATAGTACAAAACAATTCTTTGTCTCAGATTTGTCAGTACAAACAAACTCCTTTTCTAAGGCAAAGTGTTTGATTTTTGAGCAGTACACCAACCCAACATAATGTGATGAACATGGTTGAAATAATATTTATAAAAGCAAATATAAATTTTGTAAAAAAAATTAATTTCAATTGGCATGATCTCAAAATTTTAATGCAACATAAAAACATGTATATACATCAGAAAAAATTATAAAAGTAGAGATTTCTCTATTAGTAATTTTTGGCAAAATTTGGTCGACATCTCTGTACTTTAGTACAGGGTATTTGACCTGATTTCTGAGCAAATTAAAAAATTTGTAAAAATTTCAATTTTGATCAGAATGAGCTCTAAATTTCTATGCAACATTGAAAACAGATTGAATTTTGGCAAGTGGGTTTCTTTGTTGGTGTCAAACCCAGGAAAGATTGCATTTCTATGCAACCTTTCTTGAGTTTAAACGTGTTCATTCTCTGGGGCTGGAGAAAGGTTTGCTGCTTCGTAATAATCACAACTGCTGTCTTTTATTAAAACTACCTGTCATCATTACTCTAGAAACCAGTAAAAAATCTGGATAAATTTTACAGGAAATTTTTTCTACAGTTAGTAAGGAAATGATGCAACCTGGTGCATATTATGAGGATCTGCTTAGAAGTGGAGCAAGTATGACACTTACGACTTGTCTTCAAAAAAAGCGTCCTACATTAACCAAACAGAAAGAAGTTGAAGAAATTTTAGTTGCAGTGAAACCCACTTTATCTATTCAAGTGTGTAGTCCAGAGGAAGAAACACAGTATGTGCAGTTGCTTCGAAAGCATGCATGGTGTTCCAGCTTTAGAAGTAATGATGTCTCTTGGAGAATATGTCGAATATTTTGTATCAACCTGGTGTTCACTTTGATGAGTTCATTTCAAATCAAACAGATGCTTCATTAGTTAATGGTGTCATACTACAACATCAAAGGTTTGTTGAAATGGTACATGATGCTGGCCTTAGTATTGCTATTGAAACCCTTCTAATACATAAAATGTGATTGTTGAGACACTGTCGAAGATTTAATCTAAAGACACTGTTTATA